GTCCTACGGGAGGATCCCCAGGGCACATTCACAGTGATTGAGGAGGAGCAGAAGGATCAGGTGGAGAAGGTGGTTCTGATAGACAGTGATGAAGAAGGTGACTCTGCCATGGCATCACAGGCTGACCAGAAAGAGGAGGAGTTGCAGGTACTTTCCTGAGCACCTTGGGTGTTTCCAGGGTGGGAAGACCCTTGCCATTCCTTTGTGTGGTGGTTTGTTGCTCTGTTCCAGTCGCCTCCAGTTAGCAGCATGACCAGTCTAGGGTGAATGGGGCTAATGCTCCCACCTCAAGGCTGGGCTGCGAGGCATAGGCTAGGAGCCAGCCATACACCGTGTCTCCAGTCTCTGGAGGGACTTTGCCCCAGAACCAGCTGCTTTCAGAGGGCCCCAAGAATTCCTAAAAGTAGTGATAAGCCATCTCCTCTGGCTTGGAATGGCCACTGTCCAGCCAGAGGAGCCTTGGGCCATGCCCTGGGCTCCACCATTCTTCCAGGGTTCCTCAGAAGGGGTGTGAAGTCTAGCAGCCAGAAAGGTTAGGGTCAGTCATTAGGGATTCTGTGGGCCCTGGGAAAGGATAAAGAGAGCTGCCATGGAACATGGAGGGATTCAGCCTGCACTTGGCCACGGAGAGTTGTTAGCGCACTGTTGGCCAGAGCTTGTTCTTCAGCATTGTGTCCTAAAACGCCTAGCTCTACTGTTAGGCATTGACCATGCAAAGGGCGGGTCTGTATGGCTCCGAAAGCAGCAGAGTGCAACACGTACACTGTCAGCCCTGCAGATCCCTTTCATGCTGTTTCGAGGTGTACGTATGCTCCCAGTCTCTGTTCCCTGATTTGTAGTGAAGCATGTGGGATGCCAAGGTTGGGGGTGTGGTTGGGATTTACCCCTACCTTTGTGTCCCCCTGCAGCTTTTCTGGACGTATATTCAGGCGATGCTGACCAACCTGGAGAGCTTGTCCTTGGAGCGGATTCACAGCATGCTGAAGATGTTTGTGATGACGGGTCCTGTGGTGACAGAGATTGACATCCAGGAGCTGCAAGGCTTCCTCCAGAAGAAAGTCCGGGACCAGCAACTGATCTACTCTGGCGGTGTCTATCGCCTGCCTAAGAACTGCAGCTAGAATGCGAGCCTCCCCACCAATCCCTGGGCACTGTGCTCCCTTGCAGCCGTTTTGCCTGCCTTCAGTACCTCCGTTATACTTGCTTCAGGTGACATCCAGGTGCCCCTGTTAAGCACAGGTTCTGCCCCTCTGCTGGGTTGCTGTGGTTTCTGGGATGCTTTTTCCCCATTGGCTGCCCTTTGCGTGGTGATAGCAGCTCAGTGTACTCTGGATTGAAGCACAGTGCACCTGGAGAGCTCCTTTGAGCTGGGCCAAGCAGAGGAGCTGGTGCCAGCAAGCCCATTTTGTCCTGTGTGTTGGTGTCTAGGGCCCATTTCCCTGGTTAATAAAAATGCTAGCCGTGTTTCTCTTACAATGCATTGACTCCTTTCTTCCCTTCTGGCCCCCCAGCAGAGCCCTCTGGCATCCCCTCTCCCTGGGCTGGAGGAGCTGGTATGACCTGAATTCCAGTGTTTGCAGGGAAAGATGCTCTCCACTTTCACCCGGGCCTCCACGCAGCCTATGCTGCTCACAGCCCATGCCGGGGAAGCTGGGGCTCTTGGCTGTAAGAGCCGTCTGGGTCCTGTAATGCGGCTGGAGCAGCCTTCTACAGCTGGCTGTGGTGAGTGAGGCCACACTTAAGGCACATAGGGAGGAGAGGATTCTTTTTGCCATATTTGTCTTGGCATAGGCAGAGGAAAAGCTTTCATGCAGGCTCACCACTCTGCAGAACTCCCCCAGGGAGATGGGGGCTGACCATTCAAATGGGGGGTGGGTGGGGCAGCCATTTCAACCTGCAGCTGCCGTTGGCCTGTGGCACTGGGTAGCAAGGGAGCAGGCAATAATTGGTCAAATGCGACCCTACGGTACAGGTGTTGGGAGTCACTTAGTGGTGTAGGCTGATCATGGGGAGAATCAAATCCAGAACTGTTCAAACAAACAGCTTCATGGAATTCTGCTGTTCTTCTAATGTGTGTCCATTGTGTATGAAACCCACTCCAGGGGCGCGTGAGCAAACGAGATCGGAATCTAGAAACAGCCGTCTCAATTGGGCTGCATTGTGAACATCCCCCGTGGGCCTGCTCCCCACCAAGACACAGAGGGCTAGGCAGCCACAGTCATCCCTCCGTTTCCTCTTACCACCTGTGGCGGCAAGATGGAATGAGCAGTGTCCTCCCGCTACCCTTTGGTGGAATTTTCTTGCAGTTTCCTCTAGTCCCTTAGCTAAATTTAAATCCCAGAAAAATTCCCTGTTAATTTTAATTTTTGAAAAAATAATTGATTAAATTTCTCCTAGGTTCTTTGTATCATGATCTTAACCTAAAATGGTAAATTCAGTGTCCTTGGGGGCTTCACACCCTGTCGTCCTTGCCCCAAACTCATTCCACTCACAGCCAGAGCTGCTGTCTTTTGTCTTGGCGAGAGCCATTTGGTATTGTGCAGCTTGTTTTGCAGTTCTTTTCTAACAAGGCAAGATAATCCAGGGATACTCATCTGAAGCTGTATTTTGGTTGCTTGAGAAAGTAACTGTAGACCCCAAAGAACAGGCAATGACCAACCAGATGGAACTGGTCATTAGGGACACTGGCTGACTTGGACTTAAAGTTGGACCATCTAAAAATCCTCAGTGTCATCAGACAAGGATCCAAGACCAAAGACCACCTTGGTACCTGCTACCAGTGTGGCACCGAAGGCCAGTGCCACCTCCTCACCAAGGCCAGGGAGATCTGATCACGGGGCAGACATGATTTCTGATACTGATCTCCCTTTTTCCACAAGGAGAAGCTTCAGCCCTTCTTCTCTTCCCAGGAACTAAGCTTGCTTATAGGGCAGGGTCAAGTGATTCCAGCTCAATTTCCAGCTCCATACTGAAGAAATATAAGACACCCTCAGTGCCTACACCTGACATGGGGCAGTTGCCCTCATTGACATTGTCACTGGTACTGGCATCAGCACTGGCCGATGGAATGTCACTATGTCTCTGGCACTGCCTTATGCATCAGTAGTGTCACACTCCGCATCGGTACACATCTTAGACGTTTGCCTCGAAGTTCAGCACCACCGCTCTTCTCCATCACCCCTCTCTAATTTCTGGTAGAGAACGTTGTTCTCTCCATTCACACAGATCGGGGAGCCCTCTCCAAACCAGGGACGCTCACTTCAGAGCCCCAGCTTATCCACCTCAGTGGCTCAGCCTTATCATAACCAGCCTTGTCCCTGTTGGATATATTGGGGACTTCCTTCCATGAGCTGAATTCCTTCCAATCAGTCACAAAAATGCAGCCAGTTGCACTCTCCTACTGCATCCTTTGCTCTTCCATGTTTGCTGTGGGGGTCTTGCAAAGACAATCTGCAGACAAAGAAGAGGCATGTCTTGAGCCTCCATCTCCCAAAAATCCATCATTGTCTTCTAACGAGGCGGTCTCCTCAGCTCCGAATCATTATAGAGCCTTCTAAGAGCTGCTATCTTGTGTAGCTGAGATCCTCAAAATAGAGACCTCAGTAACAAGACCAAGCTCACAATCTTTGACATATTACATTCTTCCTCAACTGCCAGAATAGCATTGCCAATGAACCATCTAAAACTCTGTGGGAGACACCAGCAACGTTAGTCCCAACTGCTAAAAAGCCAAAAAAGTACCAAGTAGCACAAGGATTTTGAGCAATTTTGCACCCAACACCAGGATTATTAGTGGTCTCTGCAGTTCCCAAGGAGGCTGCACAAAGAGCACTGCAAAAGATAAGTACCCACAGAAATCCGATCTCTTGGGGAGGAAACCTGATCTGTCAGTGCCACTTCTGCTATGAATAGCAAACTACCAAGCTCAGTGTAGTAGAGAGAGAGCCTGGAGCACTGGGCCTGGTGCATGATCTGAGGCCTGAACCAGAGGCTGTGAACCAAAGTCAGGCCATGTATTAAAGCAGATCAGCATCTAGTACGTCAGCTTGGCAAAGTTGTTGCTAGTGTTCCAGGCAGTAGATATTTACATAAATATATTCCAGCTAGTACGGATACATCCCAATCTAGTACCAAGATAAGATGGTTTGACAAAATGATGAATAGGGATATTTTGTCCGAGATATCAGGAACAAGGGGAGGTAACAACCAGATGTCATGAAACCCATAAGGTGGTGTGTAAATTGCTTATCACAGTTGTTTGTCTCAGTCTATAAGTGTGAGGTACCTCGCCTGAACCCTTTGTGTATCCTATGGGACAGCAGAGATACTCGCTACTGACTGAGCCACTCCTTGCTACTGGGCACTTGTGTTAGTGGTCCTGGAACCATGGAGTCCGGGCACTGGGACTGTGCCTTGAGGGCAATAAACTTGGCCGAGTGACTTTGTCACCAAACTGTGCCTGTGGTTTTTCTTCTCCCCTAGTTGCTTTCTCCACCTTCTGAAATAAAAAAATGGTCTCTAGCACATTCCAAGAACATGTTGTTGGATAATCTGTGCCCTGCTGTGTTTGTTTTCCCACCAGCTGCCTGGGTAACTCATGTCCCTCATCGCCACCGAGTCCTGGGCTTTGGATGATTTTGTTAGTTTAAAAAAAAACCTCGTCCACCTCTTCTTCCTGGCTGGTGATCTAGAGGAGACCCTACGATGGCATCACCCTTGTTTTTTACCCCTTTTCTCCTTACTCAGAGACTTTCAACAAGTCTATTTCCATCTCAACCTCAGTGCAAGTATGTACATGTTTGATATACAAGACAACGCCTTCCTTTTTCCCCTGCCTGTCCTTCCTGAGCAAGCTGTACCCTTCTGTACCAATATTCCAATCGTGTATTATCCCACCAAGTCTCTGGTGCCAACTACGTCAGTTGTGTTTTATTCACTAGCATTTCTGTAGCCAGTCTTCCACTCCCAAATGGCCTGCAGTCCCACTGCCTTCCATTGGAGCTTGGCCTGAGCAAGGAGTGCAGGTTTGGGCCATATTGCAGCAATAGGAGATGCTACTGTGCCCTCCTTTATTACGTTCCCACCATGGCTTCTCCACACCCAGCCCAGGACCCAAGCACCATCTCTCTGTGTGGGCTGTCCCTGCAGTTACTTACCTGAAGCTCAGGTCAAACAAGGTCAAGGTGTAGTTATTATTTTTCTGTGAATAACTGTAATCACCATCTGATACAAGTCCAAAGTGTGGTTTGTCCCCTCCTCCCTACACCTTACAGCTGTGCAAAAACGGGAACTGGAGCAGAATGCAGTGGCTGTGTCCGAAGAGGGGCATCTCGCTGGGACTGTGTGACACCAGTGCTCTGGGATCTCCAGTGGCTTTCACTCCAGGTGAAGTTCAAGGTGTTGGTTGTGACCTATAAAGCCCCAATCTGTCTGCCATGGCCTTTCTGAGGAACTGTCTCTCTCTCTGGGCCAGACGGCCACAGCTGCAGGCCCCTCTCTTTTGTGAGAGGATCCATTTGATGGGGCAGCTGTGAGGGCTCCCGTGCTCTGGAATTTGCTCCCTGCCTCGGTCAGTCACAGAGGCGATGTGTGTGTCCCTGCAGCAGGGCCCAGGTGGGTGGCAGTCTGCTGCCACCCCAGCTGCTGGGGACAGGGAAAAAGAGAGCGAGCCAGAAACCTGATGGGGGGGGGGGGGAGCAGAGGGGACTCTGGCTTGCTCACCCCTGTCCCGATCTGGACCCTGCTGCAGGGAGAGGGGATGAGTGAGCCGAAGTACCACTCTCTCCCCCCACAGCTGAGCCCAGGCTGCCTCCCAGCCAGGCTCTTTCAGGCAGATACAGCTCTGTCCCACTCCCCATCCAGCTGGCAGGGGGGCAGCCAAAGATGGGGGGGAGTACACAGGAATAGAAGGGAGAGTCCCTCGCCCTCCTCACCCCCAGCAGGCCAATCTGGGGGGGGCACTTGACCCCCTCCATACTCCACCGCATTGCTCAACACTTTCAAAACAGAGTAGGATTTATCAGTCAAGTGGAACAGAGAGTTAGACGTCCTTAGAATACAGAAATAAAGGTTAAAGCTTTCTCCATTCTGGTCAACCCAGAGCAATTCACCCGCCAAACTCCAGCGAACACCATTTTCAGGCTCTGTGTCCCTCTCTGACTTCCTTCTTTAGTCAGTTCCCAGGTAAGAGAGTCTCCAGCCTCTTCCAGAAGCCAGCTCTTATCCTCCACCTCACCCTTCTCAGTTCTTTGTTCTTGAGCTGGGGTCACTTATCGAATCATAGAATATCAGGGTTGGAAGGGACCTCAGGAGGTCATCTAGTCCAACCCCCTGCTCAAAGCAGGACCTAATCCCCAACTAAATCATCCCAGCTAGGGCTTTGTCAAGCTGGACCTTAAAAACCTCTAAGGAAGGAGATTCCACCACCTCCCTAGAAAAAGTTTGTTTTACTGACCAGGAATCAAACCCAGGCCTTAGCAGTGAGACTGCTGAATTTTAACCACTACACCCCAAGGGAGATCAACTACACCGGAACCTCACTAGAATGTGGGATTTGGGATCCATGCATGGTACTGCGTTAATGCGGGGACCGTGTTAAAATGAATTCCAATTAAAGTAACTAAATTTGGGATCTATGGCCGCGAGCGTGTTATATGCGAATTCGTGCTATATAGACGCTATATAGACGCGCGTTCTAGCAAGGGTCCAGTGTATTTGGTGGTGCCCCGATGAGCTAATTAGGGCACTGCCAAACAGCCATTTGGCAGCATGGGGAGAGATTTTGGGGACAGCGGCGGGTGGGGGCCTTGGGGAGGGAATGGAGTGGGGGTGGGAAGAGGGAGAGTGAGGGTGGGGCCTTGAAGGAGGGGACAGAGTGGGGGTGAGAAGAGGCAGGGAAGGGCCTCGGGGTAGGGGGCAGAGTGGGGCCAGGAAGAGGTGGAGCGAGGGTGAGGTGTAAGGGAGGGCTGGAGTGGGGGCAGGGCCTCAGAAAGGGTCGGGAGTGTAGCACCCCCAGGGAAAAGTTAAACTCAGACCTATGGGGTCACTTGCTCCCCTGGGGAATCCCATGCGTTCTCAGAGCTTGCATTGTCTCACTTTCCCTGCCCTCTAGTTGTTCTTAACGACTCTTCATGCTACCCAGACAGGGAGGTGATGCACACACCCATGTCTCTTAACCTGCCATGAGAACAAACTTAATCCTCCCCTCTCCCCGCGAGACAGCTGTGCAATGTATAGGGGAAACAAAGGCACACAAAACATTCTCACTTTGTCACAAGTCATGTATCCATTGCTCCATTGTCTTGCCTGGGAGTAGGGGGATTGATGTCAGACTGACAGGTCAGTAATTACCTGGGTCATCCTGTTTACCCTTTTTTGCTTTCTTCCAGCCTTCCGGAGCTTCCTCAATCTTCAAAGACTTATTGAAAATCAACATTAACGGTCCAACAAACTCCCCAGCGGCCCCTCAGCCGGCTCTGTACAGAGGACACCTGAGTACCAGTTACAAGTAAGCATTTATTGTGACATGCTGCAGTGTCAGGGTGTGGCAGGGGAGGGGGTTATTGTGACACGCTGCAGCCTCAGGTGTATGTATGTGTGGAGGGGGTTATTGTGACATGCTGCAGTGTTGGGGCTGTGTGGGGGAGGGCTTATTCTGAGATGTTACTTTGTCAGTGTATGTGTTTGTATCATTGTGAGACATTGCAGTGCCAGTTACTATGAGATGCTCTATTGTGTGTGTGTTTTGTGTTGCGGATGTTGCATTGTGGGTGTTTAGGGGCTTATTGTGAAATTCAGCCGTGTCGGTGACCATGTTGTTTAGTGTGAGATGCTGTAATGTCACTGTTTGTACTGATTATTACAGTGCTGCATTTGGTAACTATGTGTGTATGGGTGGGAGGGGGAGTTATTGTGGATGCTTCTGTGTAGACGTGAGTCTGCGGTTTTTGAGCTGCTGCAATGTCACATTGTGTGCTGACTATTGTGAGAAAGGCAGAGTAGGGCCCAGGTTAAAGTGAGACGCCAGGCTGAGAACAGGGTGTGTGCGTGTGTCGGGGGGGGGAGTGTTATTGTGAGGTGTGGGGCTGGGCACAGTGTAGGGGGTAGAAGGGGTGTTGTGAGATGCGGGGGTAGTAGTGTGAACTGCAGGCTGGACACAGTGCAAGACAGTTTCTCTCAAGCTTCCCAGACAACTGTGCCCCTTTCAGGAGTCTGATTTGTCTTGTGTCCCCCAAGTTTCACCTCACTTAAAATCTACTTGCCTACAAAATCAGACATAAAAATACAGAAGCGTCACAGCCCCACCGTTACTGCACAATTGCTGACTTTCTCATTTTCCATAGAATTATAAAATAAATCCACTGTAATATAAACATTGTACTTACCTTTCAGTGTGTAGTACATAGAGCAGTATAACCAAGTCATTGTCTGTATGAAATTTTAGTTTGTACTGACTTCACTAGTGCTGTTATGTAGCCTGTTGTAAAACTAGGCAAAGCTCTAGATGTCGATGTACCCCCTGGAAGTCCTCTACGTACCCCCGGGGGGGAATGTGTACCCTTAGATGAGCACCACTGGGCTAAGGTATTGGGGTGGGGGTGCTTATGAGATGTCGGGCTGGGCACAGTGTTGGGGGTGCAGAGGTCTGTGAGGACCAGGCTGAGTATAGTGGGGAGGAGAGGAAAGGGGTTTTTTGAGGTGCCAGGCTGGGTACGGAGTGGGAGGCGGGGGTAGTGGTGGTGAAGTAAAGGTTGGGTACCGCACAGTGAGTGGGAATGGGGATTACCGTGAGGTGCTGGGCTGTATATTGTGTGAGGAGGAGCGGTTCTTGTGAGGTGTAGAGCTGGGTAAGGTGTTGGCGGTTGGGAGGGGTTCTCATGCCATGCTGGGCTGGGTATGGCGGGGGTCGCGGTGGAGGGGTTATTGTGCCGTGCTGGGGGGCTGGGTCCGGCGGGGGTCGCGGGGGAGGGGTTACCGTGCTGTGCTGGGGGGCTGGGTCCGGCGGGGGTCGCGGGGGAGGGGTTATTGTGCCGTGCTGGGGGGCTGGGTCCGGCGGGGGTCGCGGGGGAGGGGGTTAGCCGTGCTGGGGGCTGGGTCCGGCGGGGGTCGCGGGGGAGGGGGTTATTGTGCCGTGCTGGGGGGCTGGGTCCGGCGGGGGTCGCGGGGGAGGGGTTATTGTGCTGTGCTGGGGGGCTGGGTCCGGCGGGGGTCGCGGGGGAGGGGTTACCGTGCCGTGCTGGGGGGCTGGGTCCGGCGGGGGTCGCGGGGGAGGGGTTACCGTGCCGTGCTGGGCATAGATTGTGGGGTAGGTGGTATTGTGAGGTTCCATGATTAGAGCCCTACCAAATTCAGGGTCCATTTTGGTCAATTTCACGGTCATGGATTTTTAAAATCATAAATTTCACGGTTTCAGCTATTTAACCCTGAAATTTCACAGTGTTGTCCTGGTAGGGTCCTGACCCAAAAAGGAGATGGGGGGGGGGTTAGCAAGATTATTGTAGGGGCAGTCACGGTGCTGCTGCCCTTCCTTTTGTGCCGCTGCTGGCAGCAAAGCTGCCTTCAGCGCTGGGCAGCTGGAGAGCGGTGGCTGCTGGCCTGGAGCCCAGCGCCGAAGGCAGAGCCCTGCCAGCAGCAGCGCAGAAGTCAGGATGGCAGGATCTGGTGTTGCCACCCTTCCTTCTGCCCTGCTGACAGCGGAGCTGGGCCCTCAGTCAGCAGCTGCCGCTCTCCGGCCACCCAGCTCTGAAGGCAGCACAGAAGTAAGGGTGGCAATACCATGGCACCCCTGCAATAACCTTGTGACCCCCCTGCAACTCCCTTTTGGGTCAGGACCCCAATCTGAGAAATGCTGGTCTCCCCTGTGAAATCTGTATAGTTTAGGGTAAAAACACACAAAAAACCAGATTTCATGGTCTACGACACGTTTGTCATGGCCGTGTATTGGGCAGGGCCCTATCCATGAGAAGTACCACCTGGGGTGGGGGGTTGCTCGTGAGAAGTCCAGCTAAGCAGGCTGCGGAGCCTGCATCTGTGTCCTTACCTGGGCACCCCTTGTGTCTGTGCAGTCTCGGAGAAGTGTGAATGCCCAAGCAGGCCAATCCAGGCAGCCCCTACAGCGATTGTTGCCACGCTGGCCTTTCTCAATGTGTGCGCCCTCTCCATCCTGCTCCTGGCAGCAGCCTTCGTCCTACGCCCGGCTAGGGGGCAAAGGTGAGTGACTGATGCAGTAGTCCCACATCATCGACACTAGGATGGAGCTGGTAACGCCATGGGCCCTACCTCCACGCACCGGACGGTGCTGGACGCCGAGCCCTGGGCGTGCCAGCACCTTGAAGACCTTTGATAGGGTAAGTCCACTGGGTTCCTATTAACCATTCCAGTACTGGGCCTGGCTGAAAGGAAAGGGACCAGGGACCTAGTCTTCCCCAGGTAAAGTTCTTCTGTCATAGCAGCTCGACAGTGTGTATTTCTGGGAATTAGCATCACCCCCCACGCAGCCCCTCTTTGATAACGAGTATATTTTGTTTTTAAGGCTACCCAGCAAGGAAGCTAACAACCCCCCTGCTGTCACGTAAGTCACAAACAGACAGTGTTAATGGCAGTAAGTATGGCTGGAGCAGGGGAAGGAGAATCCTCTCTCTTCCTAGGAACTGTGATTTCAGGCCCTGGCTGCAGAGTCCAAGCTGGCACAGGCTGATAGAAAGGGACTGACTTCATACAATCAGACTGCAGGTGGTAGAGATCTTTAGCTTGCAATCTCAGGTCAGCGCCAAGCACCTGTGGTGTTCAGTGTATAATAAATACCTCCAGATAGGCAGAGAGGAAAGATCTGGGTCACAATCTTGTCCCTCTCTTGGCGGCCAGGCTGGGATTATTCCCTGCAGCACACTTTCTAGTGCATTGTTTCAAGCCCCAAGCAATGGAGTTTCTGTGGAGAGGTTATTCCCTGTCCTCCCGCTCAGGAAGTTCTTCCCAAGTTTACATTTTCTTGCTTAGTTCTAGCGCATTCCTTCCAATTAACCCCTCTTGTGCCCCCAACTACTTCCCCATCACCACCTCCAGGGTTCACACCTTTCAGGTGTTTCTTACTTCCCCTTTAGGCTATGTCTACACTACGGCTTATGTCATCGTAACTTATGTCACTCAAGGTGGGCAACAAACCATGCTCCTCAGCGACATAAATTACCCCAGTGTAAGCGCCGGTGTTAAGACACCGTCGTCTTAAAGCAGCTACATTAGAGAGCGTCCCCTTAGTTGTTGCTTAGCAGCATAATTTACTTGTAGTCTTTCCCCTGAACAGAGTCGCTGCAGCATAGTGACCTGTGGTGTTTCAGCTGAGTGTACTCATCCACACTGGGAGAGCGTTCAGTCAGCTCAGTTATCGCAGGTCACAGAGGATGGACTGCTGCTCTAGTTGGGACAGGGCTGTGGGCTTGGGGCTAGGCTGGGATACATTGCATCGTTGCTTATGGGGCTCTCTATGAGGCTGCTGAACCAAATCCCCCTTCACCCCAGGATCGAGGAGAAGGAATAGGTTTGGGGCTGATACTTGTCTCCTTGTCCATTGTAATCTGCAGCATCCTGGCTGGCTTTGTGGTATACGGGGGTTCTGGGCAGGTGGAAAGAGGGGTTTGGGGCTGGTGTTGCTGACACTGAACACTGCAGCTCCTCTTCTCCACCAAGGACTCCTCACTCTCTCTGAGCCACCTGCTCTTGCTCCAGTGAATTGAGGAACTTTAATTGTCCCCTGGGGACCCCAGCAGAAATGCCTGTTTGTCTCTAAAGAAATAGCCCGACTTGATTATGTAAAGAGTTGTCACTTTGGATGGGCTAGCACCAGCAGGAGAATGAATTTGTGTGGGGGGGTGGAGGGTGAGAAAACCTGGATTTGTGCTGGAAATGGCCCACCTGATGATCACTTTAGATAAGCTATTACCAGCAGGACAGTGGGGTGGGAGGAGGTATTGTTTCATATTCTCTGTGTGTATATAAAGTCTGCTGCAGTTTCCACGGTATGCATCTGATGAAGTGAGCTGTAGCTCATGAAAGCTCATGCTCAAATAAATTGGTTAGTCTCTAAGGTGCCACAAGTACTCCTTTTCTGTTTGTCTCTAGAAATTGATGCAGCTGGGGTAGTTTTGGGGCCTTTTGAATTTTCTATGTGGTTTTTGTTTGGTTTCTCTTCAGACATTTTGAATAGTAGGAAGCCTTTAAATTTGGGCTCTGTGCAATTTGCCCTTGTCAGGCCTACTTTCCACTGCTGACCGATATCTTTCTAAAAACTGTCTCTCTGCAGTGGGGAGATGGTTCAAACTGTTGATTTTAGTACACTCTTTAGCTGCTATTCACGTTCTAACTGAAAGTCGATGGGCCATGCGTAGAAACCTGACTGATGCATTGGGCTGGGAGCACATACAAGCCTGACTGATGTATGGAGTGGGCTGGGTGCATATCAAACTTTCTCCATCGGGTGCTACGTTTTCTGTGGGATTTTATCCTATAGCAGACGATCCCTTGTGTACAGCTGCTGAAAGACAAAAGTTGCTGGATTTTTACTGTCATAGGTCCATCCTCTTCATGCCCAAATCACAGCCTCAAATAAGCATTTAAAAACATAGGCAATTAATACGCAAAAGCATTATTGTGAAAGAGTTAAGTGTAACTGCCCATGCAACATGCCTGAACCAAAACCACAAATGCAAGGCAATTAAAAGTTGAACCATCTAACAGTACATACCCTCTACTTCTGCCAGCACAGACCCACACCTGACCATTACCACAACTACTGTGCACCAGAGGTCATGTACCACAGCTTTAACTCTCTCCCCCGGGGATCCCAGGCTTCCATCACCCCTCTCCACACTAGCCATGACCAAGCTGCCTCCTCCCAGCACAACCAACTACAACAAACACCCACAACTGCTAATGTTGAGGAAAAATTAGCTAGGATAGGGGAGGTGTTTAAAACGGGGAAAGTGGGGCAGAGTTAAGGTTGCAGTGCATGGTCTGTGGTGTACCGCTGTTGTAGTAATGATAAGTTGTGTGCTGTAGTGTATAGGAATTGGGTAGATTCCTTTTAATGATTTGGGAGCTCTCTGTCTTCTATTGCACAAGTCCCCAGAACCTGACAGAGCCGCAGTGTAAGGCCTGGAAGTTTGTGTATAGTTAGTAAACACAGTTATTTAGAATCCAACAGTTTGCGTGTGATTTCCTCGCATTGTTCATGTTGTGTAAAGAACAAGGACACAGCATGTGCGTGTGGGTGGAGGAGCCAAGGGCGTGTCCCAGTAGGTGGCTTAACTATTATTTCCTTAGGTTTGTGTCAGGCATGTGTGTATAGCAACCAACACTGCTTCGGCCAAGCTTTTGTGTTTGTATTCAGTGCGGCGCCTGTGTGCTTATGCTTTACAGATCAGATCCTGGTCCCAAAGAGCCTAAATTCTCCTTAGGCTTCAGGTTTCTTTTGCATATCTGCTGTATGAGCCCTGGGCAGTGGGGAAAAGTCTGAGGGAGGATGGGTGGGGGGAATATGGAGGGTCAATGTGTGACCTCTGCCTTATGAGTCAGCTGAAGTACTAAGCTGTGAGGGACCCCTCTTGGCCAGCTAGCTAGGCTCAGGGGAGCTGCCCCCCAGAGCCTGAGGGAGGGAGGTGGGAGACAGGAGTTTCCTGCGGCTCTGTGTCACCCTTCTTATCCCTGCTAACTTGGCTGAGCGGGCAGTCTGCGTGTGTGAGGTCCTTCAGCTGGCAGGAGAGAGAATGGGATGGCACAACAGGATGGCAACTAGGAGTCTGGTGCCTGCTGCAGTGGGTTATGGTGCCCCATGGGGTGCAGCAAGTTGGAGAGAAAGAGGTGGGATGGGACCCCCCTTCCCCCTGCTTGGTGTGGGCTGGGGCACTGAGACCTGTGTGTGTTATTTCAGACCCCGTCCCGAGAGTGTGTACATGGATCCCAGTGAGCTGCACCCAGGACCCAAGTGAGTGGGAAGAACAAGAGATGGGGAATCTCCTATGCCAAGGATTTTATAAACGTTGGCGTTTGTCATTTTCTGCTTCTTTGTGATGGATACAGGGGCCCATTAAGGCAGGAGAGTTCGGGTTGTTTTTTCTCTTAGCAATATCCTGAGTGTCAGTCTGGCCTGCCTGACTGCTGGAGGAGCCCCTGGCTGGTGTGGGAGTGGGGTGCAGGGTGCCACTGAGGATGGGTAGAGGGGGCACCTGCCCCCCTTGAGTTTCATACCACATCACAGTGGAGTGCAAACAGGAAAGTGAATAGTTGCTCCGCACTCTCACCAGAGGAACCCAAAGCTCTTAGTTCTGGGCTGAGATTATGAAGTTGCTGTTGGCACAGGGCTCTCCCCGAGCAGCTGGACCAGCAGCTCCCCTCATCCCCTGGCTCTAGGCTGTGGGAAATGTTTCTCCGGCTGTGTTGGCTGCTCCATGCCCAGGAGCGGGCGAGCTGTGTTCTGTATAACTGGGGGTATCTGCTGAGCTGTGCCTCCCCTGGAGGGTTGTCATAAATATAAAGGGAAGGGTAAACACCTTGAAATCCCTCCTGGCCAGAGGAAAAACCCTCTCACCTGCAAAGGGTTAAGAAGCTAAGACAACCTCACTGGCACCTGACCAAAATGACCAATGAGGAGACAAGATACTTTCAAAGCTGGGGGGGGAGACACAAAGGATTCTCTCTATCTGCGTGTTGCTTTTGTCAGGAACAGAGCAGGAATGCAGGTCAGAACTCCTGTAAAAAGTCAATAAGTAATCTAGCTAGAAATGCGTTAGATTCTGTTTTGTTTAAATGGCTGATAAAATAAGCTGTGCTGAATGGAATGTAGATTCCTGTTTTTGTGTCTTTTTGTAACTTAAGGTTTTGCCTAGAGGGATTCTCTATGTTTTGAATCTGATTACCCTGTAAGGTATTTACCATCCTGATTTTACAGAGGTGATTCTTTTACTTTTTCTTTAATTTAAATTCTCCTTTTAAGAACCTGATAGATTTTTCATTGTTCTTAAGACCCAAGGGTTTTGGTCTGTGTTCACCTATGCAAATTGGTGAGGATTTTTATCAAGCCTTCCCCAGGAAAGGGGGTGTAGGGCTTGGGGGAATTTTGGGGGAAAGATGTTTCCAAGTGGGCTCTTTCCCTGTTATATTTGTTAGACGCTTGGTGGTGGCAGTAATAAGGTCCAGGGACAAAAGGTAAAATAGTTTGTACCTTGGGGAAGTTTTAACCTAAGCTGGTAAAAATAAGCTTAGGGGGTTTTTCATGCAGGTCCCCACATCTGTACCCTAGAGTTCAGAGTGGGGAAGGAACCTTGACAAGGGTCTACCCCACTGGGACTGGGGTTGGGATTTGTATGGCTTTGTCTGCCCCCAGGATCCCATCTCTTTGCTATGCGAGTCTAATGAGGTTTCCAAATGCCCCCTCCAGCTGGGTGACTGATAGCCTGTGCGCCGATTAGAAACCCATTTTGATTTCCACCAGGCTGCACCTAACACCCAGCTGCTAATTTTCCTGCAATAATTACAGGAAAATTATCTGTAAGTGGGCCTGCCCGCTCCCGCAGCCAGCAGCAGGGCTAGCAGTCCTGTGACCAGAGGGGCACTCAAAGCACTTTATGTGGGTAAATAGCTCCCTGTTACCCAGCTGATAGGCTGAGAGCCAGGATAGAGCAGTTCTAGCTAGCCTTGGCGAAGAGAAGAAACTTGCTGAGTGCTGATCTCTTTAAGTCTTTCCCACAAAGCTGATCAGTTTTATTTTCAGTGTAATAGTCAATGCTTCCCTTATACAAGTCAGTTGCTCAGCTGCTGATGGAAATCAGAGGAAGTTATTGTACAGACCTCTGCTTCTCAATCAGAAAATAAAAATGTTTTCTTCCTTGAATTAGTCTATGTACTCATGGGCTATTTTTGGCACAGTTCCTGTAGGGCTCTTAATCCTACAAGGTTGTTACAGTCTTGGAACAGGACTCTTTACTAACTTCCTTAATATTTCAGAGTGTAGTAGAAATGATATTGTTTAGATGGTTATTTTCTAAATAACATTTAAGACCTATAGTGCCACAAGATGTTTTCATTAAAGCATGGTTAAGAATCATCCAGTCTGGTCACTGTAGATACATACTCAAGATTTCTATGTTACATTATACGACTGAACAGTTTCCAGTGGTCAAAACAGGCTTTTAGATCAGTCGTTTGTAAATGCAAGTTCAATTTTTAAATTTGTTTCTATTAGGGCTGTCAAGCAATTTAAAAAAATTAATTGTGATCAATCGCGCTGTTAAACAATAATAGAATTCCACTTTTTAAAATATTTTTGCATGTTTTCTACATGTTCAAATATATTGATTTCAGTTACAACACAGATTACAAGTATTTGCACTGTAAAAAAACAAAAGAAATAGTATTTTTCAATTCACTGAATACAAGTACTGAAGTGCAATCTCTTTATCATGAAAGTTGAACTTACAAATGTACAATTATGTACAAAAAACTGCATTCAAAAATAAAACTATATAAAATTTTAGAGCCTGCAAGTCCACGTGGTCCTACTTCTTGTTCAGCCAATCACTCAGCCAAACAAGTTTGTGTACATTTGCAGGAGATAATGGTACCTGTTTCTTATTTACAATGTCACCTGGAAGTGAGAACAGCGTTCTCATGGCACTGTTGTAGCCGGTGTCGCAAGATATTTATGTGCCAAATGCGCTAAAGATTCATATGTTCCTTCATGCTTCAACCACCATTCCAGGGGACATGCGTCCACGCTGCTAACGGGTTCTGCTCGATAACAATACAAAGCAGAGCTGACCGATGTATGTTCATTTTCATTATCTGGGTCAGATGCCACCAGCAAAAGGTTGGTGGTTCGGATTCTGTAGTTTCTGCGTCAGAGTGTTGTTCTTTTAAGACTTCTGAAAGCGTGCTCTACACCTCGTCCTTCTCAGATTTTGGAAGGCACTTCAGATTCTTAAACCTTGGGTCGAGTGCTGTAGCTATCTTTAGAAATCTCACATTGGTACCTTCTTTGCATTTTGTGAAATCTGCAGTGAAAGTGTTCTTAAAATGAACAACGTGCTGGGTCATCATCCGAGACTGCTATAACATGAAATATATGGCAGAATGCGGGTAAAGCAGAGCAGGGGACATGCAATTCTCCCCCAAGGAGTTCAGTCACAAATTTAATTAACTTTTTTTTTTAATGAAGCATGGAAGCATGTCCTCTGGAATGGTGGCTAAAGCATGAAGGGGCATACAAATGTTTAGCATATCTGGCACCTACATACCTTGCAATGCCAGCTACAAAAGTGCCATTCAAATGCTTGTTCTCACTTTCTGGTGACACTGTAAATAAGAAGAGGGCAGCATTATCTCCTGTAAATGTAAACAAACTTGTTTCTCTTTGCGATTGGCTGAACAAGAAGTAGGACTGAGTGGACTTGAAGGCTCTGAAGTTTTACATTGTTTTGTTTTTGAGTGCAGTTAAGTAACAAAAAAATCTACATTTGTAAGTTGCACTTTCACGACAGAGATTGCACTACAGTACTTGTATGAGATGAAATGAAAAAACACTATTTCTTGTTTATCATTTTTACAGTGCAAATATTTGTAATAAAAAATAATATACACTTCGATTTCAATTACAACACAGAATACGATATATATGAAAATGTAGAAAACATCCAACATATTTAATAAATTTCAACTGGTATTCTATTGTTTAATAGTGCGATTAAAACTGCAATTAATCACAATTAATTTTTTTGAGTTAATTGCATGAGTTAACTGCGATTAATCGACAGCCCTAGTTTTTATATTTTCAATCTTCACGCGTTGAGTACCTTCAACTGAAGTGTGTTTGCATTTGTGCAGGAGAAATATCAAATGCATTGTATAAATAGATTACAATATTTAAGACTTTATTTCTAATTACATATTAACTTAATAAGAAAAGAAAACACATTGCTGTTGAAAAAAGGTGATAACATTAGCTACTGGAAATGCACCTTCAGGTGTCTTACAGCTGATAGGAAACCCATGTTGGCCAATCTATTGTAATATTTTCTTTCCAGTTATCACTTTAAAAGCTTGTGTCAAAAGGAATTTGTTCTCTAATTTTTTAGTTATTCCATGTTTGAAAGGAAACTCAACTACTTTAGACTGCATAACTTTTTAAGGAGAAATGAGATATACAAATTAAGAGTGCATATATTTGCTTGTTTATAATTTTCCAGAAGGTAATATAAATGAAAATAAAAAAAGTCTGTGGGTCCTTGAGGGTGATGTTGCAAGGACAATGATATTGAGCAAATATTCTGCATGAATTTTATTTACCAGTTAAAGTGATTAGTTCTTGTATTAAGGCTCCAAAACTGGTACCTCAAAGATTGGGATTGGGAATATCATGCTGTGTTATCTCCTGATTGTTCTAAATTTACATATAAACTTAAAATATGGCTTTACTTGGTGTTTGTATATATAGTTTTCTTTCTTTGTTATAGGCATTAAATACAGTGCTCCTGTCAGCTAATTTATAAGTTATTATCTGCAAAAAACCAACAAACCCAAAACCCTAGAGTTTTTAGGTGCCTAAGTAGCCCCTGGAATCACAGTTAAAGTTTGCCCCCCCCCCCCCAAATTAAACTGAAATGGCAGCCAGGGTTTCTCTGACATGGTCACTGGAAGCTCTCCCGCAGTCCTTATCCTTACAAATGGGGAAGGTAGGGCAGAGTATGCATGCAGGGTCAGGGACTAAGTGTATCCACATCGGGAGGGGAGGTTGGCTTGTGAGGCCTGGCCCTGGGGTGGGGAGGGGCAGGTGGGGTGAGCACTTGCAAGCAAGGAGGGAGAAATGGGGCCATGAGCCAGTTTCTCAGTTAAGATGTTGTCTGAACTATGAACAAGTTTGCAGGCTCCTGGCTTGGCCCCTGATAGCCCATTTGTGGGCTATTTCCCACTGGGTGTGGCTTTTTAGGGGCTACGGTCCAGGGCACTTGTTAGGGGGCTTATTCCTTCACCCACTTACTTCCCTGGTCCTTCTCGCATGAACGGAGAGCAACAATATCCGAAGTCCAAAGGTGCAAACAATTCAATGTTTAACGGGGTGAACTTCCAGCAAGCATGATTCCAGTTTCCTTCCTTAGTGTCCCCCTTCCCAGCTCTGACACCACAGAGCCTTACCTGTGGCCCTGTTCCCATTCCTGCCCTTAGCTAAACATGATTCCAATTTCCCCCCCCCATTCCCCCCCCCGCACTCTTCCTGATTGACTGCAGACTATATAGTAAAACTTGAGTTCTGCTTAGCTATACCTTAACCAATCATTTTCCTGAAATTTAACTAACCAATCCTAACATATTGTAACATGATTATGTGACCAGTTATATCCCACCACCTTAATTAGTTTACACCCAGAAAAATTAATTATACAGCAGACAGAAACAATCACAGGCCAGAGACCACACAAATAAAGAATAGCAAAGTGGGAACTATAATGAGAAAACAATACAGAAGTGAGGATTTCACATCCCAGCTATTGATAAGTGAGTTCTTGCCAGACAGGATGCTATCAAACTAAGTTTCCTTTTACATAGCCTGATCATAGAATATCAGGGTTGGAAGGGACCTCAGGAAGTCATCTAGTCCAACCCCCTGCTCAAAGCAGGACCAATCCCCAATTTTTGCTCCAGATCCCAAATGGCCCCCTCAAGGATTGAACTCATAACCTGGGTTCTAGGCACTTCCCTTTCTCTGGAGGTGACAGGCATTATCAGGACAGGATTGTATCCTAACAGCCCAATAGCACCTTCTTTCAATGTGACTAGTTTGGAATGTGAGGCTGTGACCGGTCGCTTCCCAGCTTATGGCTGCCTCTGCTGCTTAGCCAGAGGCCTTAGCCTAAGAACAGGGCCTCAGACTGTCACAGTGAGAGAAGGCTCTTACACCGGCAGAAGGTGATTTTGATTCTTTCTTTTATACTTCTATAACTAGCCAAGTGATAAGACTGCACCTAAATTCTTAGAGTCTAGGCCTTTACAGACAGGCCTGAATATCTATATCCTAACAGCACTGGAGACGCATCTCACATATTTTTGCTCTTATCTTTCAGGAAACGAAGTCCTCTGAACAAATATGAGTGGCCAAAAATGTAAGCACCTGAGCAGCTTTTGGTGCTGCAGCCAGTTCCTAAGGAAAGGCGGGAGGTACCCGGTAGCCTGAGATGGGATAGTCAAAATTGTAAAGGGCATTGATGGGTAGTTCAGGCCTCAGGTGCCACTTATCGTTATTAAACCTGACAGAAGGTGTGGGAATGGCTTCTAGATTCTGTATACAGCAGAACCTCAGAGTGCCAAACTCCTCGGGAATGGATGTTGTTCGTTACTCTGAACAAAAAGTTCTGGTTGTTCTTTCAAAAGTTTACAACTGAATATTGACTTAATACAACTAATGAGGCTCACCAAGACTCAAAGTAGGAGCTCTCCCTATTGTATATATAATAGCAGACGCTGGTCCTTGTGCTGTACGCAGTCCTCCCGCATAACCATGAGCACAAACTAAATAGAGCCACCTTTGCTGCAACATCACTGCAATCCAAGAGGGTCACATCAGCCAGTTTGATACACAACAGAGTTAAAGAAACTCCGGAAAAGGTTGCAGCAGGTTCCCATGGTATCATCCTGATTATCTGGAACAAGGCATAGGAGGGTACAGGGACCAGAGAGGGTAGAATCTGGATGGCACAAGCTCACAATCACTCCTGTCATCTGTTGCTGTCTTGAAAGCACGGCTTCCCATTTCTCCCTGAGGCTGTCCCCACTCTTTCTGTCAGCATCACTCTCGGGAGGAGAGAAGAGTTTGGAAGCATCCAATCAGAATGCACTCCATCCCTACAGGAAAGGCGAAGGGGCAGCGGGATGGGCTCTCTGTAGGTGAGCTTTGGCAGCCATTAGATTTAGGGCAAGGATCAAAACACTTACAAGAAGCAGCATCTAGTGTAAGGGTCACAGTTCGGGAGTTACAGAAACAGGATTGATTTTTGTATTATGGGCTGCTCTAGGGAAGCATCCACTGTCTAAATCTAGTGCCAATTCTAGGGCAGCCATGAGGGGCCACAGAGTCTGGCAGTGAGGTGCCATTCTCCTGGCTGCTGTTCCCCAGGGGAATGGACCTGGGGAAACAAGCGACCATGGGAGGTGGCGCAGGATTTGCAGACAGGAGGCTGTGACATGCCTTTCTGCCCCTTGATTGCTGGGCCGGGCTCTGCCAGTGATGCAGCCCTGTACTGAAGCCTGTTTGTAGGGTGTGCTACATCAAAGGGAGCCCCCCAGCAAGTTAGCATGGCACTCCCTGTGTGACCAGAGCTCCCTAGCCAGACAAACCTACCTTCCTCACCCCTACAGAGCACAAGGGAAATGCTGGAGCCTTGGGACCCCTTAGGGAAGCTGGGCTGGGGAGCTTTGGGGTCATCACGAATGCCTTTCACTTCAACCTGGGCTTATTTGTACCACCATCAGTTTTTGCCATCAGGGCCTCACTGCATAGCCCTACTATCACCTCCGCTCTTCTGTGGCGTGTAGGGCATGGGGTGAGGGCAAAGAAAGGGAAGAATGGGGGTGGCTGGGATAACCCCAGAGAACGATGGAGGAAAGCAGGGGTGGAAGGGAACAGGCAGGAGGGGCTGTACAGTATTTTCACAGTGTGCAGGGACAGATGCCCTGGAAAACGGCTACTCTCCCTGCCCCTCACGATTAGTGTCTGTTCAATGTAACTGGAGAAGAGCATCTGCTTCCCCACCTCTGCCAGCTGCTCGGTGTGACAGGTCTGACTGAGACAGGGAGGAAACTTTTTAGACAAAACCTCTTGTGACTGCCCTGGCCCTTACTCTGTGACAGCTGTGCTGCCCAGTGGGCCGTGCGGTCAGAGCCGCTCGTGCTGTTAGGTTGTCACGTTTGATCCTCCCTGTAGTGCTGTGGAAATTCAGCTCCTGGGAGCATCTCCTAAGGGCTTGCTGAAGCCTGTACAGTACATACAGGTGGGGCACAAGTCGCCTACGCCTGCCTCCTAGCAGAGCCCTGGTTTGCTGCCCCATCAGTTCCCCTTGGAGCTGGTGCTATGAGGAAAGCACCCCCCTGCTGGCTGCTGATTCTCTGGTAGAAGATGGGAAGCAGCTCCCTGCTTTTCCCCGGGCTGCCCTGACGAACATTGTGGCACTCTTTTCTGTCTGTTCCAGAGCCCTTCCTGAGCCGGTCCGTGAGACCCTTACTGAGTTGAACCGCTCCCCAAGGTGAGTACTAGAAATGGGGCTTCTGTCCCCAACCTGTAACTCTGCCCTGGCTGCTTTCCGTCTGTGTGCTGCCTGACACCCTCTCCCCAGGCTCCCACTGGCCTAATTCGGTTCCTAGCATGGTTTGGGGAGGAGGTTGCCCCTTTTTGCCCCTGAGTGAGTGTCTCTGTCGTTCCTCTTCTTACCTCCTCCTGGAAGGCCAGAAATCAGTATCCCTCTCTGTGAGGCACTTCAGTCACCAAATCCAGTGGCAGGTATGTTAAATGAAAGCCAAGTGTATTCGGCATGGGCTATTCAGACTCCCTGTGTCTGGCCGGCACAAAGCTGCGGTTACAAAGGATGACGGAATCCTACGTCAGAGAGGGACAACGTTTCCTGTTTCTTAAACAAAAAGCTGCTAGGGCTTCTCACAACTTTTCAGCTTGAATTTCTGAAAGTCCATGCCTCATGTCTCAGAACGGTCTGCACCTCCTCCCTTCCCCTTATTTCTTTTTGATCTATCCCACTTGCGTTTGATTGGGAAGAGAAGGGTTAAGTCAATGCATCATCCTGTTTGGAGGGGCTCTAGCTCTTCAAATCCTGCACAGTAATAATGGGTTTCTTCCCTTTGCTCAGCCTTGGTTAACTTAGATTGTCAGCTGTTAGGGGCAGGGACGGTCTCTGTTGTTCTGTGTTTGTCCAGCACCTGTCCTAGGTTCTACTGTAATGCAAATAAATAACACTAATATAACACAGGGCTTTGCAAGGAGTTTTTGTTTTCTCTTCCTCTTGCAATCTTTAGGAGGATCCTGATTTGCATTTCCTAAAATCCCATTGACCACCTTGGCCCTTCAGGGCTTGAATTCAAAGCACATCAGAACCTTCTTTTCCTTCACGCATTTTTGGAGGGGAATAGTTTCATTTCCATGAAAATGGAATCCGGCCTTATTGACAGGGGCACTGTGATACAGCAGGGCCTATAGGTTACCATATGAAGCTCTCCAGATTGATACAGACTGTCCTTTCTCTCTTTGTACCACTCCTGCTTTTCCTGGATGGGAGTGGCACCAACTCTCTGAAATGCAAATCTGATCCCTGTGCAAGATGTTTCCCAAGTTTTGGGGAACGCTTTGGCTTTTGAGTCAGTTCTGAGAGGTCATTAAGGGTAAGAGCAGGTGGTGGCTGCAGCCTTTATCCTACCAGCTGCTATTCTGGAAGCAGCAGGAGGCACAGGCTCTGCTGGGTCATACAGTAGGTCTGACTCTGCTCTTCTCTGATGTCATGAGAGTTACTTCTAATGTGCCCCAGGCCATTCCAGCGTTCACCAGCGTCCGCTCCAAAGGTTGCATTTTGCAGCCTGCTGGGCTGAAGCCAAGGTTCTAATTCTTACACCTAGAACGCTTCTGCCAGGGGTGTCGGTGACTTGACAGCAGCAGGGGCCGGGTTTGATGACTAGGGGTTCCTGTTAACATTACAAAACAGAACCGGTTCAAGCCCTACCGTGGAATCTGGGAAAACTAAACACCACCCTCAGTACGTCTAAGAGGCAATATTTTCCCACTTGCAAGCACTGAGTCTGCATAACAAAAGAAAACTTTTGTGAAAAGGGAGAGGAAGCCCAGTATTAGTTTGGAAAAACACTGCAATGATTCAAAAGTATATGATCATAAGTACCCCCCCCCCATATCTTGGGCAATAGTCAGTTTCCCAGCTTGGGGCACGAAAGTCTAATTGACAAATGTCCCTTTAGCATGCCACTCCCCTTTCCCACCGCTGCATCCCACAGTGGCTGTCCAAAGTCAGCAAAGTCCCAAAATTCATGTGGGTTCACCACCCGCCTCTGAAGGGAGGGTCAAGCAATGCCCCTGCTGCCTCTGCTCTGTGTTCTCGGGGTCCACCACTCTGCCCACTTCATAGAGATTTTCTTTCTTAGCGATTTCACTGGGTAGTGGGGAACCTCAGGGCTAGTGGAACACTGTCCCATTCCCCCCGCCCCCCCCAGATCTGAGGTTCAGCCGAGTGATCACTGAGCAGAAAGAAACAAGGACTCTGACTTGAGTCTGATCGATCTTTAAACTCTGGCAGGTCAAATGGTGCACCAACCTGTAAGAACACCTGCCCCACTTGCTCTGACTTGTGCTTGGATTGGGCATCACTGCCTCCGGCTTAGTGAATGAGATTAAGTCTCGGGAGACCCCCCCCCCCACTCAATTAGGCCCTATTAAGTACAGTTCTGCTGCCTGTTAGTCATACAACAAGGATAACATTTTATTACCTCTGTATGCAAGACTAAAGTGAATTTTTACCCAAAACAGCCCAAATGGATCACTTTGGCAGGGTCACCCAGACAGAGTAGATGTGTCTATGACAGGGTAGGCAAAATTTTTGGCCCGAGAGCCACATCGGTGAATAAAAATTGTATGGTGGCCATGAATGCTCACGAAATTGGGAGTTGAGGTGTGGGAGGGGTGCAGGCTCTGGGGTGGGGCTGAGGAGTTTGGGGTGTAGGATGGTGCTCTGGGCTGGGGCTGAGGGATTCGGAGGGCGGGAGGGGGATCAGGGCTGGGGCAGGAGTGCAAGAAGGAGTGCAGGTTCTGTCTGGGGGTGCAGGCTCTGGGGTGGGGCTGGGGATGAGAGGTTTGGGGTGGAGGCTGGTGCTCTGGGCTGGGACTGAGGGGTTTGGAGAGCAGGAGGGGGATCAAGGCTGGGGCAAGGGGGTTGGAGAGAGGCTCAGGGGGTGCAGGCTCAGAGCGGCGCTTTGCTCAAGTGGCTTCCAGAAGTAATGTCATGTTCCTTCTCCGGCTCCTATGCGAAGGCGTGGCCAGGCAGCTCTGCGCTCTGCCCCATCTGCAGGCACTGCTCCCTGTAGCTCCCACTGGAGTGCATAGGAGCCGGAGCAGGGCCACGCGATGGCTTCCGGGAGCTGCATGGTGCGGTCTCGACCCAGCCAGAGCGGGGCCAAGCTGTGTGGTCTGGCCCCCGATTCAGAGCCCTGGGCAGAGCATCGGAGCAAGGCCGAGCTGCATGCTGCAGCTCGCGGGCTGGCTTAAAACGGCTCGCGGGACAGATGTGGCCTGTGGGCCGTAGTTTGCCCACCCCCAGCCTACGAGAATACAGTCTGTTCTTGAGGTGTTTTCTTCCAGTTCAGCAGTGGATGTCAGGGAAAACCTCAGGTTCTGTTTCTATTCCACCTAAATATCAGCGTGACAAGGTAGGGAAATCTCAAGGTAGGGACAAGGTAGGGGGCGAATGTCATCTTTTATTAGACCTGCTCCTGTTTGGTGAGAGACGGACACTTTCAAGCTTACACAGAGCTCTTCTTCAGGTCTGGGAAATGTACAAAGTTAAATACAGGGGGAACAAATTGTTTAGCATTTAACACAGATTTCAGGGGACTATTCCAGGTGAAGTCCAGGTCTGTCAAGGTTGTGGACAGAACAACCATCTGTGTTTCAAGGAATACAGGACACCTAGGAGAGAGCTGGGGAAGGAACTCCCAGCAAGGTGCATGGTGGAACACCTGGCTTATTACACCACTCTGTAACCCACTAACCCCCTCTTTTTGTCCTATGACTGCAGAGCTGTTAACGGACCACTCTACCTTGAATGGTCCCTTATAACATGTGCTAACTACTTATGCTAAACACTCTGTTCCACCTTCAATTTTGCTGTGATTCTGGAAGTACCTTCCCCAGCCCTGAAGAAGAGCTCTGTGTGGCTCGAAAGCTTGTCTCTCTCAACAACAGACATTGGTCCAATAAACCATATTAGCTCCACCATGTTGTCTCTCTAATATCCTGGGACCAACATGGCTACAACTACCCTGCAAACACAGGGAGGAAGCTGCAGATCCTGTCAGTGAACAACCCTGAGATGTGCACGGCAGAGGAAATGGATGTATGGGGATTTATTTATGAACACTAGATCAGCATCTTTCCCTGTGCTGACTTCAAAGCATTTGACGGTTACAGCCATGCCTGCCCGGGGACAGTTGCAAACCTTGGTGGTTAATTTCTCCTAGCAGAACTGCAAGATGGTTTCTCTGAAAAGCCCAGCCAGAGCCTTGGGGCACGTGGTATTTCTCAGTGTGGGTATGTTACTGTGAATTCGTGATGTACAAGAGAAACCAGGGAGACCAAGAATGGGAATTTGCTGAGATCCATAGACAGCTTCAAGGGAAGTATAGACTCCAGCTGCTTCTGTTGAACCCAGCAGCCACAAGCATTAGGGTAACTTAGAGCAAAACAAACCCCACCTGCATGGCAGAGTGTGATGCTTCTCTGGGCACCCGGTGCTGAGAGTCACCTTCCTGCCACTCGTCTCCAATGTGAGGGAGTCTTGCCTGTGCCAGCTGCATGTCAGCTCCCTGACACTATCAGCCCTTCAAACGCAGTCCTGTCCCTTGCCAATAGATGCACCCCAGCCCCTGAGTCCCTTCGAAGTGTCCCCTGGGGTGCCTGCTCCTGATCACAGGATATCCACAGAAATTCCAGGGCCAGTGAACTCCAGTTTAGTGGTTTTACCATAGACCACTGCTCCTGTGTCCCACACAGCACTTGAGTTCAATTATAGTAAAACAAAAGGACATTTGTTTAAGGAAGAAGAGAGATTCAAATAGGAACAAGCGTGAGTGCTGGCAACCAATGGTTACGTACAAACTAACAAAATGCAAACTAGGACTGATACTTAATAGTTCCCTCTCCTATCTAATAATGTAGACTCTTGCCCCCAAAGTTCAGTCTTTTGCAGCATTTGCTGGCCCTAAGGAGCCAGAACCCACTCTTTCATGAGGCAGCCCCTCAGTGAATGGATACAAAGGGTCTTTTTCCACCCTGTGATATATGGAAGTCAGACCTTTGTCTTGATTCACAGACAGAGTGATCCCCTCGCTGTAATATTGTTCCTCCTCACTGCCAAGTGGTTTTGATCTTTATCGTTATCTTTGATGGTTTTCCATTGACTTTTCTGGGTTGTTGCAGTGGTAGACAATTGAGTAACATGTTACATAACTGGCTAGTCAG